GTAAATTCATTGGCTAACAAGGGTCTGAGATGAGTACGCATAGACACCCCAGTGACCAGTAAAGGATGGGCAAGCATAAATACAGAGCCCCAAGGGGGTAACGAGAGTGCAGTTGCAGTACAGTTGAGTTGCAGTTCAGTTATAGCCGGAGAATAGCCCAGGAGTGAAGCTTGAAGTACCAACACCACCGCCCAACCCCAAACAATCCCTTCGTCAGTTTCTGAAAAGAATCGCCAACCAAGAACTCCGACAGTCTTAAAGTCAAACAGAAAACATAAAATTCCCTGAAATTAGTGAAGAAATAACGGAATACTTGAAAATCACCCCTTAATGAAAATAGTGGATAAATAACGCCAATCAAAAACTCCGACCGAAATGAGTGAAGAAATAAAACCAGAAAATATGAAAATCAAACAGAAAAATATAAAAAAACATGAAAATCATCCCTTTATGAAATTAGTGAAGAAATAACGCGAACAAGAAAACTTGAATACCACCTTAAAGAAATTAGTGAAAAATAACGCCAACCAGAAAACATGAAAAATCACCCCTTAAATCATTAGTTATAATGCCAACCAGAAACAAAAATAAAGTGGATAAATAACGCCAATCAGAAAACATGAAAATCAATGCCCCAGAAACATGAAAATCCCCCTAAAGAAAATTAGTGAAAAATAACGAGTGAAGATATAACGCCAACCAGAAACATGAAAATCAAAATTATGAAAAATAACGCCATCCCTTGAAAATCACCCTGAAATTCGTGAAATATAATGCCTAAAAATAACCCCAAAAAGAAATCAGCCAAAATATCGCCAATCAGAAAACTTGAAAATCCCCCCAAAATGAAATTATTGAAGAAATACCGCCAACCAGAAAACTTGAAAATCACCCCTTAAAGAAATTAGTGAAGAAATAACGCCAGGCAGAAAACATGAAAATCAACCCCTTAATAAAATTACAAGAAATAACGCCAACCAGAAAACATCAAAATCAACCTTAAAGAAATTAGTGAAGAAATAACGCCAACCAGAAACCAGAAAAAATTGAAAATAACGCCAACCAGAAAATTTGAAAATCACCCCTTAAAGAAATTAGTGAAAAAATAATGCCAACCAGAAACATGAAAATCCCCCCTTAAAGAAATTAGTGAAGAAATAACGCCATCCGGAAAAGTTGAAAATCACCCTTTAAAGAAATTAGTAAAAATATAATAATACTAGCCTACTAGAAAATTGAAAAAATAACCCCAATATCGCCAATCAGAAAACTTGAAAAATCCCCCCAAAATGAAATTATTGAAGAAATACCGCCAACCAGTGAAAATCAAAAAGAAATTATCGCCAATCAGAAAATCAACCCTTGAAAAATAACCCCCCCTTAAAAATGAAAATAACGCCAACCAGAAACCATTTCACACCTTAATGAAATTGGTGTAGAAATAACGCCAACCAGAAAATTTGAAAATCACCCCTTAAAGATATTAGTGAAAAAATAATGCCAACCAGAAACATGAAAATCACCCCTTAAAGAAATTAGTGAAGAAATAACGCCATCCGGAAAAGTTGAAAATCACCCTTTAAAGAAATTAGTAAAAATATAATGCCTACTAGAAAAATTGAAAATAACCCCCTAAAGAAATCAGTGAATAAATATCGCCAATCAGAAAACTTGAAAAATCCCCCCAAAATGAAATTATTGAAAAATTAGAAAACTTGAAAATCAAAATTAGAAAAATAACGCCAGGCAGAAAACATGAAAATCAACCCTTAATAAAATTAGGGAAGAAATAACGCCAACCAGAAAACATCAAAATCAACCCTTAAAGAAATAAGTGAAGAAATAACGCCAACCAGAAACCATGAAATTCACACCTTAATGAAATTGGTGTAGAAATAACGCCAACCAGAAAATTTGAAAAAATCACCCCCCTTAAAGAAATTATATTAGAAAATCACCCTTTAAAGAAAAAAAAATATAATGCCTACTAGAAAAATTGAAAATAACCCCCTAAAGAAATCAGTGAATAAATATCGCCAATCAGAAAACTTGAAAAATCCCCCCAAAATGAAATTATTGAAGAAATACCGCCAACCAGAAAACTTGAAAATCATGAAAAGTGAAGAAATAACGCCAGGCAGAAAACATGAAAATCAACCTTAATAAAATTAGAAAAATTAGAAAAACATCAAAATCAACCCTTAAAGAAAAAAAGAAATAATGCCAACCAGAAACATGAAATTCACCCTTAATGAAATTGGTGAAAAATAACGCCAACCAGAAAATTTGAAAATCACCCCTAAAATATTAAAAAATAATGAAGAAAATAACCCCAAAGAAATTAGTGAAAATCACCCTTTAAAGAAATTAGTGAAGAAACAAGAAAATGAAAATAACCAAAGAAATCTAGAAACATGAAAAAGAAATAACCCTTAATTAGAAATTAAAATCAACCCTTAATAAAATGACGAAATAACGCCAACCAGAAAACATCAAAATCAACCAAAGAAATAAGTGAAGAAATAACGCCAACCAGAAACCATAAAAAATTAATGAAATTGTAAAAATAACGCCAACCAGAAAATTTGAAAATCACCCTAAAGATATTAGTGAAAAAAATAACAACCAAAACAGAAAACATGAAAAAATTAGTGAAGACCCATCCGGAAAAGTTGAAAATTAAAGAAATTAGATAAACAATGCCAACTAGAAAAACATGAAAATCACCCCTTAATGAAATTAGTGATGAAAAACATGGAAATAAAATTAGTGTAAAAAATAACGTCAACCAGAAAATATGAAAATCACCGCTCAGAAAACATGAAAAAAAAATTAATGAAGAGATAACGCCAACAGAAAAAACAGGAAAATAACGCCAACCAAAGAAAAGATGAAAATAACGCCAACCAGAAAAGATGAAAATGACCCCTACAAAAAATTAATGAAGAGATAACGCCAACCAGAGGCATGAAAATTACCCCTTAATAAAATTAGTGAAGAAATAACGCCAAACAGACAAGATGAAAATCACCCCTTAAAGAAATTATTGAAGAAACAACGCCAACCAGAAAACATGAAAATCACCCCTTGAAGAAATTAGTGAAGAAATAACGCCAATCAGTAAACCAGAAAATCAAGCCTTAAAGAAATCAGGGAAGAAATAACGCCAACCAGAAAACATGAAAATCACCCCTTAAAGAAATCAGTGAATAAATATCGCCAACCAGAAAGCCTGAAAATCAACCCTTAAAGAAATTAGTGAAGATATAAGGCCCACCAGAAAACATGAAAATCACACGTTAATGAAATTAGTGTAGAAATAACGCCAACCAGAAACTTGAAAATCACCCCTTAATGAAATTAGTGAAGAAATAACGCCTACCAGAAAATATGAAAATCACCCATTAATGAAATTAGTAAAGAAATAACGCCAAACAGGAGACATGAAAATGACCCCTTAAAGAAATTAGTGAAGAGATAACGCCAACCAGAAGACATGAAAATCACACCTTAATAAAATTAGTGAAGAAATGACGCCAACCAGACAAGATGAAAATCACCCCTTAAAGAAATTAGTCGAGACTTCCGTTCCATGGTGAGCTTGTTAGAAACAGGGGTTGGGAAGAAGACAATTCGTGATTGTACTCCTAACTCTTCTGTATATAAAGACTTTCTTTTCTACAACGTATTCAGGCGTGGTTCTGTTTATATTTGGTGCAGTTTCATCTCCCCAACTGCGCGTCCGGGTCCGGATTGGTTCGACTTGGCGGAGAGACACCTGGCGAAAATTCACTTGGCTTCTTTGAGATCAAATTCACAGCGTGGGCAAGGAATTCACTGTGGGTGGAGTCGACTCAGAGACCGGCTTCTAGCTACCTGCCTCGTCGCTGTCGACGAAGAATTCGTTCCTAGACGAGGGACCTTCGTGGTCGGGTTCCCGGAAGGCCGATCGAACGCCGTGGGGCGGTCACAAACCAGCGTTTCATTAGTTTTTGTAGTAGAAATATATTACATTTTGTTTCTATTTTGTGATTTTCAGTTGTAAACTAAACTAAAATTCAGCATACTTTAAAACATCTTTTTGAAAAAGATAACGTAATTACTCATAAAAAATTAAATTTTATCGTCAGCATATATATTATGCATAAAATATAGAGAAAACTATGAAATTAATTTTATCTCGCTCGACTAGATACGCCTCTTGATTTTCTCTGACTCGTGTTATACTCCGAACGAACTTTCAGTCTCCCACGACTTATATACGATACGCCGGGAGGAACAAACGATCAAAGCTTGTAGATCACGGGAAATAGAAGCTCTTTCCCTTATCTCAACCACGTCTTATCTCAATTTTTTGTTTTTTCACTTCCACGTTTTTCTTTCTTATTAACGGCAGGGTCGCCATTACAATCTCTCAAAACAGAAAGACTGATTAAACCAAAAACATTCAAGTTTATCCTTAGTGAATTTTCTTTTATGAATAAACATTACACCGAGAAGAATGTGAAATTAAATTCAATTGAATAATGTTCAATAAATTTGAATTGAAAAATGCTCAATAAACTTCCAAGTTAGAAGACCAAGATTCCAAAATTAAAATTTTTAATGAATTTCGCACAATTATTTTTCACTAAACTTGAAATAATATAGCAAGTCCGAATGAAATAAAAAAATATTATAATTATTATAATTAAATACTCTAAAGTTATTTCGAGTATAAAAGCAAAAAAAAAAAAATTTAATTTTTTTTATGTCAACTACAGCAACCGCAAGCCCAAACTAAAATTCGTCGCTCCCAGTGGAACGACGAGCTTTGAAATATCCCCTCCCCCAATACTAGCTGCTAGTTACACCATGGTTAGGCCTGTGGTATAGAACGCCATAGTTCGAACCTAAGTAAAAATGAAGATTTCAAAACCTGATTTTTGAAAACTATCTCTCACTCTAAGTTTATTAATCTCACTTTTTCGTAGTTTGTTCATTTCGCAATCTTTCTCTTTGTACAGGTTCCCGTACGCTCACTGAAGTTAAGCAACGTCTAGCTTCGTCAGTACTTGGGTGGGTGACAGCTTGGGGATACCAGGTGCTGTAAGCTTGGATGTGCAAGTGGTGTAATTGATAATGGCTCGGAATTGTTAATAGGAGAGCCGAGTTCTAATTCCTGTTGGGTTCGTTATAGTCACTTACGTGCAAATACCCTTCAGGTATGGGTTAATTATTAAGGATTGTATCACTAAAATCATTAAAAAATAAAATTGCGTAGAAAATATTTAGATGTCGGCATTAAATAACCCCTAGACTTGTTGATATGCCGCTAAACAAAAACGATCCAAACCAAATTAATCTTTTGTCTATTTCTCTCTTTCTGTTTTGCATAGTTAGTCTCTTTCTGTCACTTTTGCTGTTTATATCTCTCTCTTCCTTGTGTATTCTCAAGCTTTCTCTCACGCTCAGTTTGTTAATCTTTCTCTTTCTCTCTTTCTCTCTCAGTTTATTTATTTTTCTTATTTTATTCATTCTCTTCTCTCTCTCCCCTCTCTCTCACTGTCTTCATCTCTCTCTCTTTCTCTTAATGTATCTGTCAATAGATCCAACATTATAGACAATGATTTTATTTTTAACTGGCTTATGTCGCCGTTGAGAACACTGCCAATGTTGCTTTAATAAGTTTTCTGTCTATTTTTTATCAGATGTTGTATTTAGAGTTTGTTATTGGTAAATGTGCGCGTTCAATGGATATCGGCACGTGTTCGAATTCCAGTCGGGTTCGTTCCATTCACTTACGTGCAAATACCCTCAGGAAAATGTGTGAAACTATCTCTTCCCCACCCGAGCTATAGGTTCAATCGCCGGACCGACTGGGCCGTTGGTTTGCAACCAGTCTACCGCTGAAAGAAACGGCGACCTACTGCAGGAAAGTCTTCGGCCTAGTAAAGTCATCAATCAAAAGAGAAGAGACGAGATCGTTCAAGTGTATATCGCAGATGTCACTTAACTGCTTTTGCTATTGTCAAATGTTGTTTTATTGTAGTAAGTCTTCCTTTTAACGAAGCGGTATTCTTTTTGTGGAAGAATTGTAAATGGCCGCTATTAAAGCAATATGAATCTTGTAAATGGTTGTTCTAGATTTCTAGAAACGTTTCCCCAAGATGATTTCCTTATAAGCAATCGCCTTCACTCACATTGCTTTATAAACGCTACATACGCACTTCCGTTTGGAGATTGTTTCAGTCCTGACATCAGTCTGGCAGTTGTATTGTTGAGTAAAGTTCTTGGCTTTTGCTTCGGCAATCCAACTTTTATTTTCATTAGCAAACTTTTTGATTGAATTGATTACACCCGTTTGAAGTCTCGTCATTATGCGTCACTTGCGAATATTCAAGCCAAGTAAATATTCATCGGATTTCCTGTCAAGAAAATAACTTGCAAACGATCCAGCCAAATGGCAAGAGATCTCTATCTATAAAAGGCAGTGTGTGTAACGAATGCACGGCCGCAATTTTCGACGGATTTGCACCAAAATTTACATGCACATGCTCCAAGTTAGCGGGAAGGCCAAGACCGACGTTGCATTTCCCAACTCCCATCGATAGTGGAAATAATCGATTTTTTCATGCTTCTGATGCACTTTTCATGTAGTTTGCGGCCATTTTGTACTGGCTAGAGTGAGAGCCTATAGCTGGCTGCCACGAATAGGCAGGAATATTCTATTGGCCAGCGTGAGAGCCAACAGCCGACTGACACGAATGTTAACCAGCATGCTAGCATGCAAAAAAATCGATAGCTGCATTCGTCACAAGTGGGAAAAATTTAAATCTGCATGGTACTTTACTCCAATTGGCTCATTCGCTTGCTTAAACTCAACGTTGAATTGGGTTGGGTGTGAAAAAGTATTTTTTTCATTTTTTTCATCCGGTTTTTCCAGTTACGAGTCCTTTTTTAAAGCTGATCGTTTTGTGTTCATTTTGTTTAGTTCTTTTTTCATAACAGATTCAATGTTTTGTATAGAGCTTAGAAAAAGTTCGCAGTGTGAGATAGGCAAGAAGTAAGGCATTTAGCAACATCAGCACGGCAAAGGGCACTCCTTTAAAGGCAAGGAAGGGCAAAAATATTTTAAGTCAAGTGATAGCGATTGCTGTATGAGTCGTACGATTTTTGAATCAAGCACGGGCAACGCGGGCCATGGTGCTAGTTTATTCTAATTTTAAACAAAATGACAAACGACTGAAAAAAAAGACACACACAGACACACAAAAAAAAGGTTTTTAAATTCTCAGACAAATTTTACGTTGAGTCAGGTCCAGACTTAGATCTTAAGAGATCCTGGGATAATAGAATTTGGGACCCCCTTCATTACGTATGTTGACCCCTCCCCCGACACCCGTGTCTATAAAAAAGATGTTTTTTTAGATGATGCTTTTTTGTTGTAAAATATGAAAACGCTTCAACAAAAATTTGAATTATTTTGGAACTCAATCAATTCATTTCATAAGCAACTTCATGATATTTTTTTATCTGAACTTTAGATCCCACAGAAATGTATTTAGAATGAAGGGCCTGAAGTTCTAGAATTCAAATTCACTAGCAAACGGGCCCCAAATACTCTACTAAATTGTTTCTAATTAGTTCAAAGGAGCCCCATTAAACCTGAAAATAAACAAATATCCTTTGTTAATATATCTTTATTTTTTTAAAGTTTTATCAGGGGCCCAAACTAGGCGGGTTCTTCTAGTCTTGGGCCCCCTTGGCTGTAGCCCATACTAGCTCATATGTAAATCCAGCACTGTGTCGAGTCAAGGAAGAGAACATCAACAACATGTTCCACAAAATACCAACCAGTCATTCAAGTCTGTAAATAATGAAATAGATCTACTTCAATGGAATTTTAATTACAGTTCAGTAAATCAACCAGCGTTACTGACTGTCGGCTCACGTATTTTGAGTAGTTAAGATGAGATTTAAAATTTTATTTTCAAAAATAAATTTTAATTGACATATACTTCCACCTACCTCCTCCCAGAAACAGGCAGCCGTTTTTATTTAATTATTCAGCGTTGATTTACTGTTATACAAAAGTTGTTCCATTTATGGCATTACCCCACTTGTCTGCTAAAGAACCTCTGCTAACGATCGCTAAATGGTATCGCTAAAAGCAGTAAAAAGAAAAAGGGTGCAACAGCAACAGGGAGACTTACAGATAGAACGTGTCACGTTTCTCTCGTCGCGGTGGTGGTGGTGGATTTGATCTGTTAAGAACTACATGTCATATTGAACACAATATATTACATAGTATACAAATGATCTAAGCTTACTTGATTAGACGCAGGCATATCTAATAATGTCATCAAAATAACTGACAACTCTTCTCAAAAGTGTCTCATGATCTTTCGCATGAACCTTGAACATACATAGGTAAAAAAAGGACATTTCGACAGACACACGAACGAACTTTCATTTACCGCTTTTTGTATCTTTTCTATTTAGTTTTCTCGGGAAATAAAATATGTTGTGGTCGTTGCTAAATATATAATGTTCCTTGTAATTTAATCTTTATCACCAGTTCGAAAAAAAAGCAACCAATCCACGAACACCAATATTACTCCACATATTTTCTATTTATTCTCTTCTGTAACTTGGCTGATATGAAGTGGAAAGATTACATTGAATCCAATGCTAGGTCTGTTGCTCAGAAAGTTGGTTCACTGGGTCGGGCTAAACAATGTTTATTACTAGAATCTATCTTACATATGCATAAGTCTACCATTCATCCATGATTAGAATATTGCTACCACATATGCTCCGGTGCTCCTGCTATATATCTAAACATCCTTGATAAGATCCAAAGAAGAATCTGCAATATTATTGGTCCTGATCTGGGGGCTCGGCTTCAGTTACTTTCCCACCGCCGTAAAGTTGCCTCACTGTGCCTTTTCTGTAAATACTTTCATGGTAATTGTTCGGATAATCTCTTCGATATGGGACCTAGAATTTATGAATTTAAGCGTATCATCAATTAACAGTTGAATTGGCGCGATATAACCTTCTTCTCTTCTGGCTACATGCTTTCCAGTCAACTTTAATCTTCAAAAATTTAAATGCAATGTCGCTGTCTGCTGTACTCTTGATTACACTTCTTTTGTTCTTGCTCTTTAATAATGTTTCTGTTTTCACCGAGCAATCCCTTGTGTTTTAGTGGCTTTACGGCACTGCTTGGGGTGATCTCGATTAAGAAAATTCCATAAATGATAATTCGCTACATGTTTCAGTCATTCTTAAAACTGTCCCATGTATCCCCGAAATTATAATGATAATAACGAAAACAGGCTTCCATATTTTCTCTAGAAATAGTTTTTGATTTCAGTCGTTACGTACGCAAGAAAAATCACATTTATCGATTAGAATTCGATAATATCAAGTGTCCTTTTGCTGAACACATGGCCTTTGAAAACAGTTCATAGCTTAGTCTTCAAGTAGCAGATTCTATTTTACACCTGATCGAACAACATCGATAGTTGGTATTATTAGCCGAGAATAGGTTATCAATAGCAAGATCAAAGATCGAAGAGTTTAAATTTTGCGGGCATTGAAAAATATTCTTGTTGACATCTTGCCAAGAAAACAAGATATTTCGTTGCAGCTACGCGCCATTTTGCATAAAACAATTCAGGTCTTTGATGTGACAGGTTTTCTCGGATCTATAAGCAAAAAAATTCGACAAAGTTTCATTAGCGTTAGATTTCTTTCATAAATTTCTTAAAAGTCATTGTAATCTTATGTATCATACAATAACATTGTCAATTCTAAAATAAATGTTAAATCTAAAAGTCATTGTAATCTTATTTATAATGCAGTAACAATTAATATTATAAATAAAACAAAACAAAAACATTTTTAACGGGTTTATAAAGTTATGGTTAAAAGTTTGACTATTCCCCTTTCATGTTTGGCAGCGCTCTTGTTTTCTTAACTATGGACAGTTGGTCAGTTTTCATATGGTCAACATTGACTGATTGGTTGGATCAGTAGCTGTCTTAGCACAGTCCTGAAACTAAATTGTCAAGACCTTCAACCAGAATGGATCTTTAATATTCTT